AAATAATGCGGCACCCTCTCCTCATTCACTCTCTATGTCACTCGACCATGACTGTCTCTCTCTCTTTTATATAAATGCACACAAACCAAAGGAAGCTTCTTGGTTTCGCTATCTTGCAGCATAGAGTGCAAGCCAGATGCAGACGTCGATCTGATCGCTCAGAACACTTTTGGAGGTGTCCATTCTAATGCCAGGTGTATTTAGAGCTGGCCACTTGTGATCGCCCAAGATGCATGTTAATGCCGGGTATAAACAGAGTCACTATGATCTCGCCGCCACGCAGTCACATGGTTTATGTAAGCTCTCCACTGTTCTACACAAATCTGCACTGTCAGCCTGTTTGAATGGTTTCCAGCAGGTCAGACAGCAGCAGCTGACTACACTTATATTCAATATACTGTGAGTGATGGAGAGACAGAATTAATCCGTTTTTCTGTTCAGTTTTGAAGGAAAGGAAGAACTTAACTTACAATACATTTACAGTACGTATGCATATTTTTCTGGTGCTTATATGGTCATAATTACTCACATCATAATGTTGTCTTATGTTAAGACATTCGCATCCCAACATTTTCACCATGTGGAAACAGAGCACATATCCGGCATTTAAAGAGTTTGGAGAGTTGTGTCTTTTTTATAACCTTCCCAAAAACTAAAATGTAAGGAAAGTTTTAAACTGTATTTATCTGCTCCAACGTAAGCAGCAAATGTTAGCATGTCACTTGAGGCAGTTTCAACTTAAGACTACAAGTTTGGAAAAGAAAGAAATGTGGACCCAGTGTTTCCAAAATTCCTGCAAATTATTTTCAAGTGGCAAATCTGCCTCTGTTCTTACTGTAAACTGCAGTAAAGCTTGACAGGCGTAGCCACAGTAACTAAGGAGGCAGGGAGAGCAAACATCCAATTCAATTCCATTTTTTAATTTATGAATGCATTTTCTAGTACAGACAACAGTCCGCTTGCAGGCAGACGTAGTTATTTTTATACAGTGCTTATTCCTAAGTGGGATCTTGTGGGGATGATTAGAGACTGTATGATTATTATTAGGCAATTATTAGGTAATTTTTATATTTGCTGAAGGCAGTGCAGTCTGACTTCTACGGGAGAGCACTTAGTCCATAAGTCTAGTTCAACCTTCCCTTGCAAGAATTATTACATACAAAAAAGATAGTTACATCAAGAGGAGGGCCGTCATGTGCTCCATATGTCACAAAGGAGCATTTTATACCAGATGATAATTTCTGTCTCTGTATCAGGGCTTGCTTATCACCTTCAAACAAGCAGCTAATGTCCGTTCTGAAAAACACAATACACATAGATCTGATTACTGACTGAATGTCTCTTGTAAATTAAATTAAATCATTTTTTCACTATCCTCTACAGTTGCTCCTAAATTCTGCATCATAAAACAGCTGTCTCCCTCTCTCCTGCACGTGTGTGAGCGTTTACTGGCCGTGATAAACTTGTTTTTGATGTCTGTTTGGATCAGCAGGAAGAAGTTCCCTCTGAGTCTCCAGCTGCTGCGCCAAAACACACCTGGTTAACATTTCTGGTTATATGACTCAGATTGATGTAGCGGTTTATTGACGATAGGCAGTCACCTAATTTCACCTAATTATTAACAGATCTAATTCATATGAAATTTGTATTATTTAGGATACAGGTTGAGGCCAACATATTGCAGGGCCCCCAGAAGCCATCGGTGGTGGCCCTAGCACTGTGGTTCCCAACCTGGGGGTCACTAGGTGTTGCCATAAAAGGTTGGCACAGGAAAGCCCCACATATGCAGGGGGCCCAGATTAATTAAATTATTTTTTAAATCAGCAGGGTCAGAAATGAACACCTACCAAGTGTCAAATGTGGTAAAGCTGCTGTGCTGTGCTACACACATCCACTTTAACACACACACAACTATAACAACTTTGCACGCACTTCCTCAAACTCTGACATAAACACACGCAAGAAAACACACACATCAACTTTAACACATACATACCTAACAACTTCATCACATACACAGTCTCTGACAAACACGGAGCAAAGTTTTTGATGTTTTCTTGATTTTATGACTTATAACTTTTGTTTTTGGTTTTATTCTATAATTTCTTAATGCTTTAGCAATATTGTCTTTATTACACTCTGGCCAATGAAGCATTTTGATCTGAATTGATTTTTAACAAGGAAAAACAGCAAAATCGATCACAAATCAGTCCTTATCAATGGCGCTGCGCTGTTACGTGTGCTAATCTTTAAAATGAACACTGCTATTGATCGAGTATTTTCCTGGCTGCAGTAAACAATCACACTGGTATTGAGTGTGAGGGCTTTCATACCTTTCTGCCTGTTTTTAAGAACTCAACATATTCATTTCAAGAAAAATCCTCCAAGACCTGCCAGTGCTCAGCAGTCAGAGAATAATGTTTCATTTCATTCTCTTTAACTCTGTTTCCCACATCTCAGGAAGCCTCTGCCTATATATTTCACTCCGTCCAATATAACAACTGTTCGTGTCACTGTGCGTTCAAGCCAACTCATGCGCTTTCTCTCTCTCTTCTCACTGATGGCTCCAGACCAGGACCCTTCACATAATCAATGTGTATAAATAATAGATGAATAGATGGAGATTAGGCTGTTTAATTTACGCTGTGAGCCTGGTGAGCAGTGTCCTCATCGAACATGTAGGCAAGAAGGGGAGAGAGCTGTCAATCGCCTGTTTGTACATCCTACAGGAAGTAATGTCTGTCGCAGCCAAATAGCTGTTGGCACTGAGAGAGGTGAAAAATGTGGGCGGATGTTGTCAAGCTAACACCGGCTTCCTCTTTCCACCCTGTGAGTGCAGGAGGAGGTAAAAGACAGGAAGTAGCAAAGAACATTAGATACTAGCTAACTAACCAGAAGAAAGGTGTGCTATCAATCTGCTGTCTTAATGATATAGGAACATTTTTTCATCACTTTTCACTTGAAACCACACACAACTTTCTGTAGTGGGATGATGTAAAAGAGAAAAGCAGTGAGGAACAAAAATCTTTATCAGGATAAAGTGTAGGCTTGTAGCATTTATTTTCATTCTTCTATTGAGTTATAGACTTGTTTGACGTTTTGCAATTTGAAAGTATATAGAATTACTTACAACATTATACCTGATGATGTTTTCCTTTCCGTTTGGTCTATGTGTTACTGGATGATATACATTCTTTTTGATGTGTGACATACAGTGGTGTTTTGTAATCCCATTAAGGAGAGGGCACAAGATTGGCATGGCACAGAAATAACAAACTAAATGCCTGTTTTGCAAATGGAGTTTGGTAGTTCTTTGTTTGGAAAATTGCTCCAGCACAGAGAAATCGGAGTGTGTTGTATGTGCGGTTTGTCTGCAGTAAACAGAAGAAGAGTTGCGTTTTGTGAGGAACAAATACCCGTTGACTGACAGACAAAGGCAGGAGCGGCAAAGAAGTCAAAGGATAAAAATCACAGTACGCACACACTGTTTGATTGACAGGTGAACTCTGAAGTGCAGTGCAGAACAAAATGGCACAAAGGAGCAAAGAAGAAACGCAGTTTACACACTGTATCTGCGGCCTTATTAGTTACAGTGCTGATAACTGTCGGCTTTTGATTCAGGAAGGATTTTGACAACTGAAATACTACCTCATCATCAAGTACTCAGATATTTTACAGCAGTAAAAGTATCAGCCTGTAAAAAAAAAAAAAAAAGATTGATTATGTGGTCTATAAAATGTCAGAAAACCAACCAAAGTAAATTCGCATTGGAGAATCTGCAAACTAGGGAATGATTGGAGTCTTTACCTGAAACATGACTTAATAATGGATTGATAATCAAAATAGTTGCCGATTGATTTTCTCTCAGTCGACTAATAGATTTGCTATTTTTACTAATAATAACACATAAGCAGAATTTTAATTTAGCTGGTTGAAGTGGAGCTACTTCTCTGTTGGGTTGTTTAATCCATAACAACGTGGAGTTTATGACAGTGTTTCTCAAACAGGCACACATACCCCTAGGGCTACTTTGGAGTACTGCAGGGGGTATGTGACATATCTTAAATACGTATTTATAAAATATCAGTCATGCATAATTCCTAAAATAATAATACTGTAATAATAAGTTCAATAAAGGTTTGATAAAACAGCCCTAAAACCTCTGGAAAAGAGTTTGATCAGTGCAGTTGCACAAAGATTCTCAGTGAGGCACAAGCTCTTTCTACTTAAATTTTAAGTGCAACTTCAGTGCAGTCTTAGTGTTATTGCATGATGACAAACAGTGGTTTGCCATGAATTTAGAAATGGATTTAAGATTAGTAACTGTATTTTAGTCACAAGGTTGTATTTTTTATAGTTTTTTATTAATCTACCAAAAAATGCACTGGTCTGAGGACACTAAATAAATATTTCTAAAGAGGGATTCTTATAAAAAAAAAGTTTGATGTGGTTTAGATGTGTTAAACCGTTGTAGCTGCCACATAAATAAATGTAGTGGAGTAGAAAGTAAAATATGCCTCTGAAATGCAGTGTAAAGCAGCATAAAATGGCAGGCAAGAACATTTTCCTCAAAACTGTACACTGATCTGATCATAACACATAAATTATAAAGTCTGTATGACACATTCCACTAAATGCTCCTGTTTCTACTCCCTTACTTCCCCTTTAAAACATAATTGCAGTGGCTCCCAGTGTGGAGCTCCTTTCTCTGCCTACAACGTGGCCAGGCGGAATGTAAACAAAGGATCCCAGTCAGTAAACGTCCACAATCATTAAATAAACTCCTTTTTTTATCTGAAACGTTGCACAAACACGCTTTAGCCAGTATAAATATGCACAGGGATTATTATATCTAAAAGTAACGCATTTGAGATGAAGAAATGGGAACAATTAGATCGAGTGAATCCACCCGGATCACCAGCTTTAAGGCGATCAGATACCCTCCGTGCAGTTACAGAGGTCTTGTCAAACTGAGGAGACGCTAGAAACAGGGGGGTTAATGGGAGAATAAGGAGCCCCCCAGCAGTGCTCGGCGGTGTAACACGACGCTTCAGGAGTTGCCATCATCACATGGCAGATGGAAATTTCCACTCAGACTCCTTGCTTGTTAAATGGGAAGGGTCTCCAACTCTTGTCTCCACTAGTCCGCCTCCCTCCTCCGCCTGCTACAGCTGTCCGCCGCGCTGAGGTAAAAGCCCGACATTTACGCATCTATTCCTTCTGCTTTCACTTGTTTTCTTCCAACCTGCATGCGACTTGCTGGTTAATTCTGACCACCATGTATGACTGCCTGGGAGCGGGTAGTTTTATTCTCATTATTTATTTGATTGGAATAAGCAGCTCGAGAGGGGAGGGGGGGGGTGTTATTGCCTCATTAGAAAATTGGAAAATACAAGAAATGCTTACTTTTGCACCAGTTTTTACTGACTTCTGTCTATTTTCCTTCTGTTTTCATTGGTTATTTGTGCAGATACATTGACAAACTAACATGCTGATGAGAGAGAGCAACAGTAGCGCTGTGTGGAGCGCTTCCTGCAGGGTGTTGCCTGGAGTCAGTATAAAGCTGCATTAAGCGCCAAACACGCGTCTGTATTTATACAAGGACAATTCCATTTAATCTGCTGCACGGTTGTAATTTGGTGTCTGCATCTGGGTTATTATTAAATACACGTTTCCCACTGTAGTCACCAGTTGATCACACGCACTGAAACTACCATTTACATTATGTGTTTTTGCATGCTTGCTCTGCTGCTCCGTGCTTCCTGAGAGAAAACACAAAGGCGACTATTATTATTTCCCCCACTTTGCATCATTCAGGTTGCTCTGTGCGTACTCCCAGTGTGTGTGCAACTCACAAACCACAGGGAAAAAAACTAGTTCTTTATTTTGGAGGGATATACAGATGAGAAATATGACTATGAAGATATAATGTGGATCATGGGTTTATGTAACAGCAGGCTGTAGCATGCAGAGTGTGGCCAGCAGGGCTCACTTAATAAATATGTTATGACTGCAATCACAGGTTCCAACTCTTGTCATGCTCTGGTTGGAAAAATTCTTTTTTTTTTTTAAAATAGTAAAGCTTGATTTGATCTCCAGAAACTTTCTCCTGAGAGGTTCGCCCTCAGTGTCAGCACACAAACTTTACTCTCTCTCCTTTACTGCTGTTTGATTTAGCTCTTCCTCTCTGACTCTGTAAGTACTTGGTAATCACTCTGTGAAAGAAAATCGCATTGGATTTGACGGTAAGACAGAGCAGTATCATTTGGCTCTTTGAGGGGCGGGGGGGTTTATCCAAAATGTATCTTTGCTTTGATGCCTTTCACACATGTGCTCAGTCGCTGTCACTTTCTCCGCAGTTGTAGCCTGCTTTATGTTCATCTGTGTCTTAAGCCACTTTTAGGTGAAGCATCTGAAGCAACACACCCTGATCCCAGCCATGCATGCCACTGCTCATGACTGGAAACAAGGACTAGATTCAAGCCAGGAGAATATCTAGGCTTAGGCATATTTAAGTGTTGTGTTCAGTTTCTATAATTTGCTCGGCAGAGTGCTAAAAATACCTGGTTGCCACACAGTGACTTTGCATATAGCCTTTCAAACCCGCTATGTTCCCTGTGTTCTTTGCTTACATAACAGAACAGACCTAGTAATGTCTTCCCTTAATGAAGCTCCACAACATATTTGTCAAATAGATTTTTAATGTCTGCAGTTGTAGTAATACCCACTTGGCTATGGTGTATTTTTATTGCGGTGATGTTAAAGCTTTGAGGTGCACACTCATGGTGCTCTAGTAAAAGCTGCATGCATGAACACACAAAACAGTTTTCTTCAACTTTCTTCAAGAAATGTGCTTAAATAGAAATGAAAAGAAAGATTACAAATGTGAGTCATTGATGTTTTTGGCATGACAGCTCACAGTCAGATTGCTAGCTCGCATCAACCAATTTCAAAGAGGATTACAGAGTAAATTAGGTGTTACTGAGTTGACTAAAGTTTGAATGGTAATCTGTAAGATTTCATTTTGAATCCAGCTATTTAGCTTTATACTTCCATAAAGTCTGAAGACTTAGAAAAGACAGCTTAACACAAAGAATGGTTGAGATTAAACCGATGCCAAGATATCGTGACTTTTAGTCCCAAGTACGGATCAAACTAAAAAAATACTGGATTCTACATTATTATATTGTTATATTGTTATATTATAATGCATCTCAATAAAAACTCAAACCATCTGTAATGCAGGATATCTGTTCAAATGTGGACCCTCCAGGATGAGATAATCCTATTGACATCATTATGACATCATTAGGGTTATTTTCTCCAACTTAAAAAAGTCTGTGAAGTTTGGAAAATGCATAACTTTCAGTGTTATGTTTTCAAGGTTAGGGGTATGCTTTATATGAATATACTAATTGAAGAATGCTTGATTTTCAACATAATCTGTTTCATCCTCGCAATCACTCAAACAAAAATCTTTTAATATTTGAAATGAACGATCCTGTCGTCGTATTTGTTTGTTGTCTCGTGGTGTGTTCGCTTGTCATTAATAGCTAGATAAGTCCTGTGTTGGTCCCTTACTCTGGAAATCAGTAAGTAGTAGTAATTCTGTAGAACCTGTACATTTTTTGCAGTTGCATTTATAGTTTTGATGATAAAGGCTTTGAGAGTCTGGAAATGTTTGGCTCAGGTACACTGAAAGTGCATGAACCTTGAAAAAAACTCCCAGAGCAGCAGAACATATTACACAACTGTTGGCTGAGTAGGGCTTGTCATGATGAGTAAACTGACTCTCTGTATAAAGTCGGTGGAGTACGCCTTTAATGTTACACCTGTACACTCAAAAGACTCCTCAGGAACTTTTGCAGTGCTACAGGTGAGGGGAGACACCAGCACCAGGTTTTGAACACCAGATCTTGCCTGTGGATTCTCACTCCTCATTGGCTGTTAGACCTGAATGACACATGTAGGTCAGACCCTGCTGAGCAGCTGGGAGTTGAAGAGCTGCCGGCGCTGGCTGATGTAACTTGGAGTGCGTATGAGCAAATGAGCCAGATGCCGAGTCAGTTTCAAAGGAGTGGATATCACTAACACAAAGACACAGTGAGGCAGTGCCACAAAGGGGGTATGCATTTGGAAGTTTTCCAAAACTCTGTCAACACATTTAATTGAAATCTGAGAAGGTGGTTCAGTGTACAATATAAGGAGCTGCATATTTTTATCTGCAGGATTGCATAAGTTATTAACGTGGAATGTGCACTGAGGACTCATGCAACGTTTGAAAAGCAACCATGTGCATCTCAGCTTTTTTTATGTGAAAAGTTGTTGCAGGGGAAGCCCCTTGTTTTTCCTGCCCTCCACATGGTGGTCAGAGGTCAGAGGTCAGCTACAGGGGTTCAGTGTCCTGATGAAGATCCTATAAACATGGAAGGATGTTTGCCGACACAGCTGCTTGAGCACATAGTTCACTATACAAAACCATTTACAACTTGTGATTACTACTGTGAGCAGAGTTTATATTAAAAGAACATTATTAATATGGGAGGCCACATGATCTGTGCTAAGTAACCTTTCTCAGACGTATTTTATTTACAGATCCATTAAACGTACAGGAGTTTGACTTGTTAACGCAGGTGCAGGAGTCCTGAAACTCACACTTCTTTTAAAACTTCCCCTAAAATGCTAGTGTGATAGATATAGAACACTGAGTTTAATTTTAATCACTGTGTGAAAACAATGTAGAGTGATGGACTGCTTAACATGACACAGCATTTCATGCAGCATGGTTTAAAGCAAGAGTTTGAAATTTAGGAAATGTTCTTACTTGCCTCGTTGCAGAGAGATGAGAATATTGCTACCACTGTCATGTCTGTAGTTTAAATATGAAAGTATCACCAGTTTAGCTGTGAGCTTAGCTTAGCATAAAGACACAAAACAGCGGGGAACAACTTTACATTTTTTTGTAGGAATTAGATAAATGAGATATAACATGTTAACGGGTGAGCGTTAGAGGTTTTGATTGGCTGCTTTTGTTAACTTCGGACAGAGCTAGACTAGCTGTCCTCCTCGTTTCCAGCCATTTTGATAAGCTTAGCTAGCCTGAAGGTGGCTGTATGTTTATTATACAAACATGAGGGTGGTATCTAACTCGTCATATAACTCTCAGTAAGAAAGCAAACAATATTTCCTAAAATGTCATACTCAAAAAAAGCATGTTTTCTTATTTTAACCAAAAAGAAACGCAATCTTCAGTCATCTATTGCAGCCCGAATTTGCTGAAAATAAGACTTTTGTTATTTCAACATGTCAATCTCCCATCTGCCAAGAATGTGAACCAGGATTCAATATCAATCAGTATCGACATGTAGAATTCAATGAAATCTAAACAATACTCATGGTGCGTTCTATTTGTTTCCTGAGTTACGAACCGGAAGTTGCAAATACAACGCCCCCGAGGTCGTATATATATACGACTCGTCAAGTCGTCTGAACTCAGAGGACCCCGAGTTCAGTTACCAAGATGGCTACTCCGAGCATCACACGTAGTAAACATTGTGGTTTTCTACTATTCGAAGCACTTTTGTCTTTGTTGTAACCAAATGAAGAAGTCGTACACATAGCACTGTATACTGTTACCTATAGGCATGTCGCTACAGTTTTATTATGTGTTAAATACCGCCTAATTAGTTATTTTGTAGCTTGTGCAGCTGAAATTGGCTAGAGACGCTCCATGTTGCTATGACAACACTGCTCAGTCTTGAGCAGAAAGCAGAGCAGTAGCCTAACGTTAACGTTAATCAAAACGGAGTATTCAGATATCAAACTGTGAAATATGATTGTGTAGTATGTAATGAACATGTGAAATCTGCGGTGGGTGCTCCGTAAACCAGATAATCACTATACTATAGCGACTTTCCTGGAGGCGTCCATCTTTTCTCCGACTCGTCGTGTTGTGTGCCAAACAGAACGCAAAAACCTGCGGTTATGCGTTTTCCAACACGGATGTGACGTCACTCTCGAGTTGCAAGTCGCGATTACAAGACAAAACGAACGCCCCATCAATCTTAGGGAGGAATGAGGAAGGGGAAGGTGACGCCATTACAGTCTCTCGTTGCCGCTCTTCCAACATGGCAGTTTGTCAAAACTAACCAGTGCCCAAATGTCCCACAAAGGGCCTCTGCATAATCA